TGAGGCCAAGAGGCTGGGGAGAAGGCGCTGTTCCTTTGTCTCCCTCATCTCACCCAACTCCCTGAGCACCGATTCTGTGCCAGGGACACTGTGGGGACAGAGACACAGGAAGAGAGCCCAAGTCTAGATTGCTGCTCCTGTGGTGGCTGTGACACCCCAGGGGGGCTGGCTGGGGTCCGAGGGGGGCTGTCCTGGGGCCTGGGCAGGGGCTGGGATGGGAAAGGGGGGCTGGGGATGCAGCCCGGGGCGGCTCAGCACCCTGAGTTCTGTGCACCCAGCGAGAGCCCCTGTGTGCCAGGCAGCAGAGCGGGGCTGGCTGGCAGCGAGGCCTGGGGAGTTTTCCAGGGCTCTGGCTCCTACTGGCAGGGGGTCCCTACTCTTCCTAGCTCAGGGACCAGGCAGTGAGCAGGGCCCCTCTGTGAATGCAGGGCCAGGCAAGAGGAGGACCTGCCCCAGCCTTGTCTACCTTGCCCCAGGGCCGGGGTCTGTGCCAGGCGTGGGCGCTGGGACAAGAGGTGGGGTGAGTCAGAGGCCCCACCCTGCCTTCACTTCAGGGGCCCCCACAGCTTCCTTCCACACCACAGCTGTCCACTGTGCAGCCATGGCAGGGAGCCTGGTGAGTGCTCAGGGGCCACCTGGAGTGGACAGGGGCACTGTGCCACCCTTCCTGATGGGCCCCATCCCCTCCCTGGGCTTCCTCCGGGTTTCTCTCCTGTGCCAGTTTTCTCTGTATTTCTTGCTTGTCTTCCTGTCTGGGCCTCTCTTTCCTTCCTCTCTGGGACTCCTTTCTCTTCTGCTGTGTGCCCATCCCATCTTGGAATTGCTGTGCAGGGGGCTCCCCTATCTTGTCCCTTTCCCTGTGCCCCGGTTCAGTGTCACCCCTCTTTTAACCTTGCAGAATGTCCCCCACAAGATCTCGCTGCCAGAGGCTATGCGAGCAGGGACTGTGCTGAGAATTCAGGGCTCTGTCCCTGACAAAGCTAAAAGGTGAGACCCCAGGACAGGGGACGGGGTGGGGTCTCCAGGCTCAGCTGACAGCCAGTCTTTGACGCCCAGAGACAGCGGCCCTGGCATCTGTGGCCAGCAGTCTGGGAATCCCAGGCCATTTTGGACTCTGAGTGCGATGCACTCACTCTTTGCCCCGACTGTGTAGTTTGGTCCCCAAGTGACTCTAAGGACCCAGCCCTGAGACTCCAGGACTCTGCAAAGAGCCTGCAGGGCCAGGGCTGTGCCAAGCACCTGGGGGCCTTGCCAGCCAAGTCTGTGACTTTGTGGGTGCGGGACTCGAGGCCTCCCAGGGTTGGGGGACCCCGGAAATAGCTGGGTTCCAGGGTGTGTGGCTCCCGGTCCCCGGGTCCCTGGGGTTCCACCCTGGCCACGAGCACAGTGACTCTGTCCCGGTGGGAGTGCGTGCCCCGCTGGACCTTCTGACCATCGGTCCAGCCTCCCCTCGGGGCAGCGGGATCCGCCCCGGGCCCTGGCACCTGGGGCTCTGGGGACAGAGGGAGTGCGGGTCCCAGGCCAGGTGGCCTTGAGCCTGGTGGTCGCTGAGCCCTGCCGCCCGCCGTCCCCCAGGTTCCACGTGAACCTGCTGCTCAGCGATGGGCAGGACGCGGACGCCGCCCTGCACTTCAACCCGCGGATGGACGAGTCCGTGGTCGTGTTGAACAGCAAGGACAGCGGCAAATGGGGCCGCGAGGAGCGCGGCGCGGGGCTCCCATTCCAGGGCGGGAGGCCCTTCGACCTGCTGCTCATCGCCACGGAGGACG